TTTTAAGAGCTTTTAGGAGGCTGAGCTAAGAGGAGCACCACCTCCAGCGTTAGCCAGCCTGGCAGCGGGATCTAACCTCGCAGAGCACGCCCCTGGGAAGCGCAGGAAGACGGGGGGTGGGGGTGGGTAAAAATCCCTTAGCACGGCGGGGAAGCGGGGAAAACGTCAGGCAGCTGCAGTGTTGCAGTGTGTGGAAATAGCAGCACAAGATTAGGGCCTAAACCTTCAAAGTCCTGAGTGCCCTTAACTGTCATTGATTGCTGGAGAAGTTCTCTCTTGGGAAACATTAAGAATTTATTTTGCATAAGCCAGCTGAAAGAGCTGCAGCAGCGTTACGAATCAGGGCTCCTTGGCGTCACGCGCTCTGACTAATTACTCTCCAAATGTATTATTTAAAATAACCTTAATCCAGTAAAGTGGCCTTTCTGTGCGCTGCCTTCTTCAGAAACCTGATGGCTTTTCTGCAGAATGGGATCATAGCAACTAGACGAAAAGTGCTGGTCGGTGCCGAAATCGTTTGCCATTGAGGATTTAAAGCCATCCGGCAGTCGCTGGGCTTGCGCTGATCTTTCAGGACAGCGGCTCTGCAGGTTTCTTCTTTCCCTTCCGCTATTTATTGCGCTGCTTGAGGAAAAATGATCCAGCTGGTAGTTTTGGCCTGTAAACGGAGAGCGGTGCCGTCGTCTGGCGCTCTGTCATCCACCTGCAAAAGCCTCCAGCTCTGGCCTTTCATTCACACTCTCCCTCTCTCTCTTTCCTTTTTACAGGTTGATGGACTTCTCTTCTATCACAAGCAAACCCACTATACCCCCGGCAGCACCCCGCTGGTGGGCTGGCTCCGGCCTTACATGGTACCCGAAATCCTGGGGCTCGCCGTGCCCGCCACCGCGCTCACTGCCAAACCAGACTACGCTGGGCGTCAGCTCCAGCAGATCATCGAGAGCAAGAAGAGTAAAAAGCTGGCAGGGGAAAAGGGTCAGCCGAGCAGCGCGGCGGCTGCGAGGAACGGACATTATGAGCTGGAACACTTGTCTACCCCTCAGCCAGCAAACTCTCTGGAGGGTCAGGACGAAGCAGTGAGCCAGATGGAGAATTAGGCTGCTGGGACAGACCGGTTGGGTAAGGAGAAAGCAAAAGGTTCCCCGCTTCTCACTGTCGCTCACGCTCCCTGAGAGGGGGGCAAAGGTAATGATAGGATGGTTTTGTTTAAAGGGCACGGAAGTGGAATGTCTCACTCCCAAGTGCTGCTGGATTATTTTTTTTATTATTATTATTATTTTTATATATTTTTTTTTTCCCCCAGGCTTCTGTGAGGCCCTAACAGGATTGTCTGGTTCTTTGTCGAGGCAGTCGTGCGTTGGGAAACACGATCCCTGCGCTGCAGGGGTTCCCGGTTCAGCTCCCGACCCCGCTTCTGTTAAAAGCCTCTGGCAAAGCTCCGGCGTAGGAACAGCGTTCGCACCTCCGAGGTGCAGCTGCTGCCGGTAACCCCCAGCCCCGATAACAGCCTGGGAAACGTGGGCATTGCGACCTGTGATCCAGCTGTTTTACCGAGGCCTTCTCAAGGAAAGTTTTGCGGTCGGTCCGCTTCTCGTAACAAAAAGTTTGCGGCAGGCTACTGGAAACCCAAAGGTTGGGGCTTTCCACCCCGCAACGTGTTACTGAGGAAACACTAAATTTCCTTGTGTCCGAGTGCAGCTTTGTGCGGCGCGAGTGCGGCAGAAGCCTGTACTAGAGGCTTTTCTCAGTAGGGGGAGGAAGGAATGGTTTCGCTCTAAAAAAAACCAAAAAAACCCCACCAAAAAACCAAACCAAAAACCCGCTAGCATTGATTGTGCCAAATAAAAGGTTTCTCAGAAAGACAAATTCTTGAGCGTCTTCCTGCTACCTAAGGGTGGACGCGTGCTGTGCCTCCCAAATAGGGATTGAAAAATCCGTTACGGCGCTAACTGGAGCGGAGGAAATGCTTGTGGGAGTTTGATTCTCCTCCGTGCACCGAGGTGCTCCGGTCCCTCCCCGCCGCTGCCCCTCTTGCCCGCTTTGCGAGGGCCGGCTGCCGCCTTTCCCCGCATTTTAGCGGGGATGAAACAGATCGTACTCACCGTCCCCGAGTTGTTTTCTAGAGGGAGATGAAAAGGCCAGAGCGGGACCGCTCTCGCCGCGCAGGGGAGGAGGGGAAATATCAGCGCTGGGGAGTCTCCTCCCGGCCGTCTATGAAAATGCCCCCGGAGGAGGGCCCGTATCCAGGAGGAGATAGGGAGCGCGGGGATGGCCGCCCGCAGATAGCGGGGGCACTGGTATCCTGCCCTCGCACCCCCAGTTTTTCCCAGAAAAACGCTTGTTTCTATGCCAAGCGCGTGGGCTGCGTGCGCTCATCGGGCTGTGCAGCCGCTATTGATTCTACCAGCGGGCAGCAGGAACTGTCCCTGCTGCGGCCAGCGCTTCCGGCGGGGGGGGGGGGGGGGTGGGGGGC